AGGCCCTCACTGATTATTTCGCTGTAGTGGAGAATGGGCAGGCACTCAGCTGGGAAGAACTGGTTGAAAGATACAACGCCCTCCCCGAGCGTGGAAATGTATATCCCAGGGAGTTGGACATGATCACCCCCTTCCGCAGGCTCAAGCACGACATCATGAAGGCAGCCAAGAGGAGAGGAGCTGGGCCTGACGGACTCAGCAATGATCTTTTCCAGGTCGCTCCGCAAGAATGCACGCAGATACTATTACCGTTGTTCGTGAAAGTGGACATGGCGTCCAGGGAGCCCCTGCTGTTCAAAGGAGGCTGGCAATGTGATCTACGCAAATCTGGGCCCCCCCGAACCCCTGGAGCACTGCAGAGGCTAGCGGACTTAGAGATGCCCAGTTGTCTGGGGCCTCTGTGCCATGCCCTTGTCGCAAAGCCTGGAGCCCTGGACGGACTGGCAAGTAAGCACCTTCTGGAAGCAGTGGTTGACGTGATGGAATGCAATTGGTTCCAAGTGCGGGGGAGTACCAGGGTTGTCTCCCCCCGCCTAGGTACGAGGCCAGGCGTGCCACTAGCAGACCTCCTGTTCATCATAGCCTTCGACCCAATCATCATCGCGGTCAACAGTAGATTCGGTTCCCTGGGGTATCTTCAGAGGACTACGGATGCGGTCCCGTCCCAGAGGATTTTCAGAGGTCGTGAGCACGAGCATGTAGAGGAAGACGTATGGGATGGTGCCTTCATGGATGACCTCGTCAACGGCATCGAGCTGTTAGACGCTAGGCTCTGGAAGGAGGCGGCCATCGCCCTCGTCACGATCATGTACGAAGAAACCAAGTCTAGGGGGTTCACCATGAACTGGAAGGCGGGCAAGACGGAGCTCATGGGCTTCTTCAGCGGCACAGGTTCCAGGAAGGCACGAGGGGAATGTGCAGCCTTGGCTGCCACTGGTCTTCTCGTCCCTTCCTTAGGCGTCTCCCTGTGCCTCACTAGAACCTACAAACACTTGGGAAGTTACCAGGACCATCACATTTCTCTGGGACCCGAGCTGGCGCACCGCTGTCATCAGCAGCGACGCCCTCTAGGGGCACTGAGGCGCACTGTTTTCCCCAGGAGGCAAGTCAATGTAAAGGCCAAGCTAATTTATGTTACTTCTTTGTGCACGTCGCACCTTTTGTTTAATGCCCTCACTTGGCACAAGCTAAATGTGAAACAGATGGCGACCCTGGCGCGCAACTAGTTGAGCCCGTTTAGATTGGCGGCAGGTCTTGGGTACGATTCTAGCTCTGGTAAGGTTGCTGCAGACCATAGAGTTTTTGTCAAGTGTGAGATCATGCCCGTCGAGCTGGTATTGAGGCTCAGGCGGCTGCGATTTCTTCCCAGGCTTCTCAAATCAGCGCCTGCTTGTCTGCTGGCGATCCTGGACGAGTTAGCCTCAGTGCCAGAATCATGGTCCGCATTGTGTTGCGATGACCTGATGTGGCTCAGCAGGCATGTGAATCTGACCAGGGAATTCTTACCGACAGGGCCCCCTGCCTGGTGGTTGTGGCTCCTGAGGTCTAGCAGCAACAAGTTTTGGAAGCGAATATGCAAGCAAGCTGAATCGGCTGCCAGGGCCAAATTTTTGGACGACCAGCGTCACGAAGAATCCAGGGACGGGTGGCGTAAGTGTTGCATCGCCAAGGGTCTTGCGCTCCCGTCGTTTTTGCGTCCGCCGTCGGTTCTCGCCTTGTATCCTTGCTTGGACTGTGGGGCGGTGTTGGCCACCAAGGGCGCATGGGCCTCCCATCGCTCGAAGTGCCACCCCCATCTCGACCCCGCCCCCAGATGCGTTTCAGGCACTGTGTGCATGGCATGCGGTCTCAACTTCCACACGCATCTAAGATTGCTCAAACACGTTCGGCATGGCTCATCGAAGTGCTTGGCGGACCTTATGGCCGTCATCGCACCGATGAGCCCCGAACAGGTGATGGCTGCCAAGGCGGAGGACGCGGAGATAGCACGCACACTCCGAGAGAAAGGCCACTACGCGGAGTCTGCGCAGCTCCCGCCTGTCCTCACGACGGGACCTAGGCTGAGGGGAGCGGCTGCCTCCAAGGGCCTTCCCACTTGCATGCCGAAAATTTCTTGCCAACCAGTGTGCATCCAGGAAGAGATGCCCACGCAGGCAGAGGTCCACACGCCTGCGGCCCCTGGTACTAAATGCATTGTGATCATCCGTGCAGCTCCCAGGAGTCAAGGTGACATCCAGGACAGAGCGGAGAAGTCCAGTGCCATAGCGGGCATGAATGTTTTTGTTTTGTCTCTTAATAGTCTCGAGCTTTTCCAGAACTCCATTGAGGGATTTCATAAGGAGCTATTGTTCATTACTGATATGATTCTTGCTGGGCGTGTTATTGGTCTCGTGGCGGATTTCCTCCTTTCCTCGTGGGACCCCGCCCCCCGCTGCAAAGCCAAGGGTGGTGAGTGCAGGCTTTTAAGGAGCTGCGATGAGCCATGGGGAATTTCTGCCAGGTCGCCCTCGGAGCGGAAGCAGCTGGAGCTCGACAGTGCGTGCTTGAGGGCGGCACTGACGCTGGCGCTGTGTGCGGCGTCCTCGGGCTTGGCGGCTTTGCTCATTTTAAACCCACCTGCTCCGCAAGCTAACCTGCCCTGCATATGGAAGGTCCCCGAGGTCAGGTTCTTGTGCTCCCTGCAAGATACGTCTTCGACCGCCACGTCGAGATGTGTGCCCATGGGGGACCGTCAGTGCCTGTGCATGAATGCCATGCCGATCCTGGCCCCTCCTGACAGCAGCCAGGTGGAATTCTACGCAGCTGCTGTTATCACGCAGGCAGCCTCACAACGCTGTGCCCCCACGCCTCCTGGGGATGCATGGCTAGAGGCGTCAGTTGCCCATCTATATGCCCCGCTCGATTTGTATTGCGAGTCGGGTTGATGTTGGCCATTGCTGCTCTCCTCGTCCTCCGCTATACTTGCCGCCCATCTCACCGCTGTCGTATGCATGCGTGGACACCTCAGACATTGGTCCCTCAGGGTTGCGGGAAGAAGAAGAAGGAGGAGGAGGAGGAGGAGGAGGAGGGAGAGGAGGAGGAGGGAGGAGGGAGGAGGGAGGAGAGAGGAGGAGGAGGAGGAGGAGGAGAGGAGGAGGAGGAGGAGGAGGAGGAGGAGGAGGAGAGGAGGAGGGAGGAGGGAGGAGGGAGGAGGGAGGAGGAGGAGGAGGGAGGAGGAGGAGGAGGAGGAGGAGGAGCTTCCGCCGCTCCCCACGCCCGAAGCCTTCGGAGCATCCCCCGCCTCGGGTCTCGGGCGGCCGTTCGGGGGGATCCTGGCCACCCTGACCACGACGACCACGACGACGACGACGACGACGACCACCACGACGACGACGACTAGGACGACTAGGACGACTAGGACGACGACGACGACTAGGACCACGAACACTCTCGGCGAGGCGCCCGCGAGGCGCAGCTGCCGAAGGCACACCCCGAGGCAGGAGAGCAAAAAACGTCCGAGAGCCTCGCCCCTGCGTCTCCTCCGCGGAGGCCTCCGTGGTCTCGACTGGCCCCCGCCAGCCTGACTACCTACCAGACCACCCCAACCCAACCCGAAGACCCCAATTTCGGGTTGGGGGGGGTACGCGTTCCATATGTGTTTTTTCAGTGTTCCCCGACCCCCCCCCAACTGGAAATGGAGGGCAACTTGAGGCCTTCGGGTTGGGTTGGGGTGGTTTGGTGGGTGGTGACAGCCTCTACCTGCCTTCGGGGAATAATGTAGCTCGGGGCCTCAAGTGACCGCCCGCTCGGGACGATTCCTGGCACTACCCGGAACGCCCGTGACGCGGCGCATGCAGGTGAAGGAAGCCGACCCGGGGTCCCGAAAACAGAGGAAAAGCATCAGCAACTATTCACGTGAGCCAGCGTGGATCCCAAACAGTAGATCCTTGCAACTTATGCGGTGCAATCTAGGTGGTTCAATCAATGTGGTGCAGTCTACGCGGTGCGAACCATGTGGTGCAAACAATGCGACGCAGAGATACTAAGCAACGCAAACAAACGCAACGCAGCGCAACGCAAGGCAAAGGAACGCAAAGAATTGCGACGCCATGCAGGGCAATGCAAAGCCATGGACATCAATGCAAAGCAGCACAAAACAATGCGACGCAGCGAAGTAAAACTTGCGATGCGCACGGGGGAGGGCAACCGGGCGGCAATGACGGACGGGAACGGGGCCGCCAGTCCTGCAAACGGGCCCTTCCGCCGGAAACAAATGTGCGGCGACGGACGGGAACGGGGCCGCCGGGGACCGGGGCCGCATCCGGGCCGCGCTCCTCAGAAGAGACGGGAGAGCCCCTGAGTGCAAGTACTGTTTAACGGGCGAAGAACGGTATAAAATACACTTCTTCGCTGTCGGGGGCGCCTGTCCCTGGGCGGCTGGAAAGTTTATACCCCTACGGTGCCACCGTAAGGGTATAAACTTTCCAGCCGCCCTGGGACAGGCGCCCCCGGCAGCGAACAACAATTATCTTATACCGTTCTTCGCCCGTCAAACTGTTTGGGGAACCACCCGAGAGCAGCAGGAGCCCCGCCCACCGACGGCCCCCGCCGCCGGGGAAGCCCGGGCGGCGAGAGCTGTGGCGAAGGGCGGGGCCCGAGGAGGAAGAGGGAGAGCGAGCAAGGGCAAGGAGGAGGAGGAGGAGGAGCAGGAGGAGGAGGAGGAGGAGGAGGAGGAGGAGCAGGAGCAGGAGGAGGAGGAGGAGGAGGAGGAGGAGGAGGAGGAGGAGGAGGAGCAGCCCGACTACCGACAGGGCGACGGGAGCCGTGGAGAAGGAGCGGGGAGACGGAAGAGGAGGGGAGGAGGCAGAGAGGAGGAGGAGGGGAGGACAGGAGGGAGGAGGAGGGCGGAGGCGGAGGCGGGGGGCGAGGGAGGAGGCGGAGGACAAAAAAAGCGAGGCGGAGGCGGAGGCGGCGCGGCAGGGAAAGGAGCGGGAGGCGGAGGAGCGGCCGCCGCTGGAGGCGTCTCCTCCAGCTGCTCCGGCCGAGGGCGCATGTGCATCGGGGGCCCGCGCGGGGTCCGCGGGTCGTAGCGCCAGTGCGTCGCCAGCACGCGCCCGCCGGGGCGCAGCAGCCCCGCCGCCTGGCTCAGCATGGCCACCGGGCCCTCGCAGTGCAGGACGCCCGGGAGAAGAAAAGGCGGCACGGGCTCGGAGTACAGTCGGCCCGCGTCATACGGATGCACGATCAGGACGCAAAGGGCTTCAAACGCCCATCTCGACGCTCTTCGAGCGGGGAGCGGCCAACGAAAGTGGCCAAGGATGGACGGGGGAGGCAAGGATGCAAGGGTACCCTTGGGAAAGTTGCCCATGGTCGACTGCACCATGTTCGGGGAGCACGCAGTGACATAAAAGCCTGCCAACCCCCGCCTGCCGGAGGGGAAAAGGCGTGTGAGATGATGGGTTGTCCCCCTCCCCCCCTCCCCCTCCCCCGGGTCCAAAATCTTGTATTGAGGGGGGGGGGGGGGGGGCGGGGGGGGCATCTGGGAACTCGCACGCGCTTCTTCGGGGGCCTCGGAGCCTGCAAATCCGGCCCCCGCCGCCCGCACGCTGCCCAGTATGCCTTCCGAGACGGCTTCAGACAGGCGTCGACGCATCCGAGCACCCCCGAGAGCACTCAAGATGGTCTCAGGACCCCCCAAGGAGCTCCGCACACGCCACACCACGGCTCCAAGAGAACCCCAGCCGCAGGTTCCGAGGCAAAGCGATATTGTTTCAAATGCTGTTTGATGATTTTCGCATTTCACCTCTCCGGGCATCCGGAAGCTCACAACCACCCCCGGAGACTCCCCGAACGAACCCACGCCAGACAAAATAGCATCCCAAAGAGCCTGGACGCGGGCCCCAGAATCCCTCACCGGCACGGGCACAAGCCTACAAGATCTCCTGGGAAGGCTTCGGGCTGCGCACAGACGGCCCCCCGATGAAAACCCCGCGGGCCTCAACAGGCCGCCCGAGTAGTCCACGATGGCCTCAACAGGCCCCCCGATCAATCAAAACCCAGCTGTCCTCCGCAGACCGCCCCAGACTGCTCTGGTCGGGCCGGGCGAAAGGGGGGGATAGCAAAGGGGGGGTTTGAGAATCAGCTCACGTAGCTGATTTTCCCGGCGCCTCCCGGCGCCTGGAGGCGGCCATGTATCTGGGAATGGGCCCCTCGGTGAGGCCGAAACCAGCTGCATGCAGCACATTTCGTACCCCCCCGTTGCCAATCCCCCCCTTTCGCCCGACCCGAAACAGGCCACCCGAGTAGCCCACGATGGCCTCAACAGGCCCCCCGATGAAAACCCAGCTGTCCTCCGCAGACCGCCCCAGGCTGCTTTTTGGGGGCCCGGGGGGCGGCCTGTGGAGGACAGCTATGGGGCTGCGCGGGAGGCCCGCCGGGGCCAGCTCGGACTGCCCAGGGGGACCCTCCTCCTCCTCCTCCTCCTCCTCCTCCTCCTCCTCCTCCTCCTCCTCCTCCTCCTCCTTCTCTCTCCGACGGCGTGGTGTCTTCAGCCTGGGCGTTGGTCCTCGATTCCGGCCTCTGGGGCCCGTGATCGGGCCCTGGGGCCACATCGAACACGGATCCAGGCCGACAGGCCAGCCCCCCGAGAAGGGGTCGGGACCTCTGTCAGGGGGACGTAAGACCTGGGTACAGGGGACTGGGAAATCCCCGACGTGGTCGTCAAAAAAATGACGAGGTCGAGCCTGCATTTTGACGAGGCCTCCCGCTGCAGACATCCCACGAAACTCCTCCTCGTCAAAATCCGAGGCGCGGTCGTCAAAAAACGATGGCGAACCCGAGTCCTGGCAAGCCCGGGTCTTACGCTCCCCCGACTCTGGGGCCGCGGAGTGCAAAATCAGAACCCTACCGGCGGACAGCATGGCCTCCGAGGTCAACGAGCGCATCTCTGGCACAGAAAGCTGCTGAGTCGCTGCGATGGCGCTCGCGCACCACGTCCGCAGCCCGAGTGGGCACACTGCCGGGCGAACGGCGCACAAACTGGCAGGAGGCACTCTTGAACATACTTGGAAGTCTGACGTAAGCACACGTGCTTCAATCGGCGTCTCCAGCGCGCTCCTCGCGCCAGCGAGGGGGTCCAGCGCCAATCAAAGGAACCCGCGCGGTTCGTGGTTCGTTTTCTCATTCATTGTTTTGCAGATCGGCGCGGGCCCTCGCACCCCCCCCCTCCCCCCAATGGAGTAGATCTTGGTAGTTTTTGGCGCCTGTTTCGAGCAGGTGGGGTCTCCCCCACAGGGCGCACTGCTGCAAGCAGTGGCAGTACGCAGAGGTCCAGAGCCAGACCCCCCCCCCTCCTCCCCCCCCCCCCTTCCGCCCAATGCCGAAGCGCCGACTCGGAAAAAGCTCACCACCCCGCCACGCCTCATCGTGCCAGGGGGGCACCTCGGCGGGTTTGCGTCACCCCCCTCCTCCCAATGCCGAAACGCCGAATAAGAGAACGCTCACAGATAGTAGTTTTTGTCGGTCCGCGCCCCCACAGAAAAGGCCTCGAGGGGGTTCTGTCTCTGGGGGCAATCCGTCGTCCCTGATCCGACTCCAGTGGTCTCGGTGCCCGGCCCTCGAGAGCCCTGGTGGCATGATGACGACGATGATGACGATGACGATGACAATGACGATGATGACGATGATGATGTCGATGATGACGATGACGATGCCGATGACGATGACGGTGATGATGATGATGGTGATGATGATGGTGATGACGATGATGATGATGATGATGGTGATGATGATGGTGATGATGCTGATGATGATGATGATGAGCCTGATGATGATCATGATGATGATGATGATGATGATGATGATGATGATGATGATGATGATGATGATGATGACATGTTCGTCGTAAGCGGTAGGCCTGCGCCTCTGGTGTGTCTTTAGTGGCTCTCTGGGACTCTGCCTAGACTGGTGGCATACCAACAATCACAAAACATCGTCCTAGAGCAGATGCCTGCGCCGAGGCGGTCAGGCGGTCTGAACGGGGGACGAGGCAAACTCAATCCTCGGACCCCTGCTGGGGTCCATCTGGTATGGCTTGCAACCCCCGATTCGTTTTTCACGGTCCCGGGACCCGAAAACAGCCCCCGTCAGGCCGAACAGAAACAGAAGACCTTTCCGGATTCAGAGCCTCGAACCTCTTCCCCCCCCCCCCCCAGATGGCCAGACCTAGTGCTGGGCCACATCAGACCCCGAGCCAGCTCCAACGCCGACCGTTTCTTCTTCGGATGTTCAGCAGCAGGACCGCGTCGCAGCTGCTGGGCTCCAGGCCGTAGCCCTCCGAGACCACGTCACGCACGGCGCCCGCCACGTTCCCCAGGCCGGCCTCCTTGCGCGGCGCGGGCTCCATTCATTATATCCGCTGCCTGTGGACCCGATGTCCAGGGACCCCACTGGGCGCTGTGAGCATAGATATATGTTAACTTCGGAGGGCGACGATCTCTCTCTCTCTCTCTGTTTTTGTTTCTCTCTCTCTCTGTATATATATACATACACATCCATCCATCCATCCATCCATCCATCCATCCATGCATATATACACACATACATACATACATACATACATACATACATACATACAGACATACATACATACATACATACATCCATGCATACATACATATACAGGCATACATACAACCATCCATACATACATATAGGCATTCATACATGCATACAAACACACACCAACCTACATACACACACATGCATACCTGCTTGCATGCATACATACATGCATGCATACATGCATACCAACGCACGTATGCATGCTTGCATGTATGCGTGTATAGTGATGAATGCACACATGCACTTAGACAGCCACATACGTACATACATGCATGCATGCATGCTTACAGACACACGTACACACAGACATACATACATACATGATTGTATACATAATTGCTTGCATGCATCCATACATGCATGCCAATATCCATGCTTACATGCATGCGTACATACATATCTACATGCATACATCCATGCATACAGACACACACACATGCGTACATACCTACATGCATACATACACATATACACACATACACACATACAAGCATGCATGCGTGCATGCAAACATACAAACAGACAGACAGACAGGCAGACATACAACGATGCATGCATACACATACATACATACATACATACATACATACATGCATGCATGCATGCATGCATGCATGCATGTATGCATGACTGCATAGAGGCATGCATGCATACATACATACATACTTGTAGCCCACATACGCAGACCTATCGTTACATACATATACAGGATAACATGCATACGTATATATTAAGTGTGCGTGTGTGCGTGTATACATGTACGCATGTATATTCAGATGCCCATGCTTACATCTGCATGCTATATAAAATTAGACATACTAGATCAACGCGCGTGTACTTTCTAGTACGCTCTAGTCGTAGTCTACAGTGTTCGGCATCGGGGGACATATGTTCTGACACGGGTCGTGCCCTTCAGGGAGCTTCACCTGCGGCACCAGAGACAAGCTTGGCTTAGCGTCCCCCCGCTCATGTCGGCACACCCCTCACAGGGATCGCGCCCCACATGGAGCTCCACCTACGTCACAGAGACGAGGTTCGCAAAGTGGCAAGCCTTCCAAGCGGATTTGGCCCCGTAAGAAGCTTTATTTGTGGCTCAGAGGGAAGCTTCAAAGCGTCGACCAGCTCACTCCGGCACGCTCCTCACACGGATCGTGGCCAGAGAAAGGTTCCACGGACGACCCCAGAGACAAGGTTCGCATCCCCCCCCCCCGCCCACTTCGGCACACATCTCACACGGATCGTGGCTAACAGGGATCTCCACCTACGGCCCCAGAGGCAGGGTTCGCACTGTGCCCGCACCCGTGGCTAGCGCGGCACACCCTATCACACGGATCGTGCTCACAAGGAGCACACCCGAAAGGCCCAAAGACAAGGTACCTACAACGCCCCCCGGCCCATGGTCGACACCCGTCACGAGTATCATGGGCCAGAAGGAGCTCCACCGATGGCACCAACGGGCAGCTTCGCATGGCGTCCCTCCGCCAATTTCGGAACACGCCTCGCACGGGACGTGCCTGGAGGAACTTCACATTTGGCCTCAGTTGGCGTGTTCGAGCGGGGGCATCCGAACTATTCGGAACACCTTACACGCGGATCGCGCCCAACATGGAGTAGAGCGCACTCGTGCACGCGTGCTCCGGAGCTGGTACCTTTCCGCATTGCCCCGTGGCGCGCAGTACATGAAGAAAGGCCCGCGCGCTGCGCTACACATGACTGCACAACAATGGGTCCGTCACCAAACAAATTGATTGCTTGCGGGACGAAGCAATTTTGGCACCGCCGAGGGCCCTCTCGGGGCGCATCTCGGAACTTTTTTATGACTCCTGGGGCCTCCTGAACCGTTTTTACTCGGGGCGTCATCGGCCCTGTCAGGCCACTACAACTGCTTGTTGGCAACCTCCGGAGCTGTTTGAGCGGCGGGGGGGGTGGGGCCGGGAGCCTCTGGAAGGGGTCAAACATGTCGTGGGCCAAAAGGGAGCGGAAATCAGGGAGGGTGCCTGGGACCAGTTTGGGTCCTTCCCTCCTCCTCGTCCTCGTCTTCGTCTCTCCTCCTCCTGCTCCTTCCTGCTCTTCCTCCACTTCCTCCTCATCCTCCTCCTTCTCCTCTTCCTCCTCCTCCTCCTCCTCCTCCTCATGCTCCTCCTCCTTCTGCGTCTGACATGTGGGGACCTCCAGGGGCCTCCCAAGGGCCTCGCAGGAGAGAGCGGCAGTTGCGAGCAGCACCACTGACACCGCGTCCACTGGCAGCGGGGCCGCGGGCCCGGCCACGCTTCTGCTATGAACGGGTCGCTGGGCAGCGCTGCGCAGAAGTGTCTGGTGGGATGGCGCTGAGCCTCCTCCTCTTCGGTCTCTTCGTCGGACTGGCGGCGACGAGCATGTTCCCAGAAGTCATGTTCCCCCAGAAGTCTCTCAGGGAACATGATGGTGTGGGGTGAGGGCGGTGTTGCGTGTTCAAGTCCTCGTGGAGGTTCCAGGGTACCCCACATGAGGCTGCAGAGCCTGAAGGACAGCCAGATGGACGATGGGAAGTTGGCAGTGAGACGGGGGAGGCGTTAAGTAACACAACAATGAAGTGTAAGAGCTGGGAAGGCCACGGCAAGGAATGTGAGAAGAAGCGTAGGGGGTATGGGCAGTGGGTCAAAAGCCATGCGAGTGTTAAAGGGATGGCCAAGGAAACCTCGCGGGAAATACTCAGAGGGCCGTTTTTTGGCCTCTTGGAATTCGGTTTGGAACCTTCTGGGGCGTCGTGTGGGTCCTCTTGGAGCCTCGTGACAGCCTCTTGGGGCCGTCTTGGGGCCTCCAGGGAGCTTCTTGAGACGACCCCTCTTGAGCACGTCTTGGAGCCATCTGTAGGGTCTCTGGAGCCTTCTTTGGCGCCGCTGGTGCCTGGGGGCGTCATGGAGCCATGTTTGGCCGCCCTGGGGCCCTCCTGGGGGCCTATGGGCCCGTCCTGACGCCGTGTTGGAAGCCTCTTGGGCCGTCGCGGATAGTCGGAAACTCAAAAACTGGAGGACTCCCCAAACATCGAAAAACCCTAAAGACATCAAAGACTGCAGCCTCTCGAGGCGCTCGTCTGGGGCCTCGGGCGCCCACTGAAGCCTGTCCAGGGCCGTCCTGGCGCCTTCTTCGGGCCTACTGAGAACCTCTTGGGGCGAAAAACTCAACATTTCGGTTCATACTCCCCCTCTGGAAGCCACCTTGGGGCCGTGTGTAAGGCCTTTTGGGCCGTCCTCAACGCCACTGTGAGCGCCACGGGGCGGCCCTGCTAGGCCGTCCCAAGGCCCTCCTGGGAGCCTCTTGGCCGTCCCGAGGCGGTGTTGGCGGCCTCTTGGGCCGTCGTGGATTGTCAGGAACTCGAAAAGCAGAGGACCCCCAAGACATCAAGACACCTGCAGGACAATCAGAAGTCTGCGCCTGTCGGGCCACTCGTCTGAAAACGAACATCTGCGGCGGTCCCGGCTTGCGTTACAACAACAACAACAACAACGACAACAACAACAACAACAACAACAACAATCATTTAAGACTGGGGACACTCCGTTCTCACCAGTGCCAGGGTTTTCATAGGAGGCGGGCAATACCCCCACTTTGTGGGGGGGCCGGTTCAAGCTCTACCAAATTTCCATACGACTCTTCGCCACCACCCACACCCAGCTTCCCGCCCTATGACGTTCGGACACTTCACTTCGTGGCATGCGGACGACCGTGGCTACTATTCAGGGCCCCGCGGCCGACGACGACGGCATGCGCGCGCGAAGAAAAAACGAAATTGTCCCACATGGTATTATTTGACAGGGATGATGGCCCTGGCAGGCGCGCAACCTTTGTTGCAAAAGTTCGAAGCACGTGAAAAAGTTGCTCGCAAGAGCCCGTTTGACAGAAATGTTGAAAAAATACTGCGTTTCCTCAGAAATCCGCAAGAGCGCGCGGGATGAATTTTTGAAACTTTTGGTTTGAAAAACCATTGGGTTTTTCATGTTTTTATGTTAAAATCGCTACGAAAACTAAGGTTTTGGAAGGGTTTCATCTTGCGCGCGCGAGTGTGCACTTCGTGTCATTTTTTGCAAAAGATTCTTGAAGTTTGGTTATGTTAGAACAAGACATGTCATTTTATAGTACAATTTTGAGACTGCTCGCCCTTATCTACACGAGTGCCCAATAACGCGTATTTGCCAAACCCTCGATACCCGCCCTCTTCGTCTTCGATCGAACCCCTTTTGGGGGGTAGACCTTTCTTCCCTGCAGGCCGGGCCCCGGCAAGCGGCGGGGCGGCCGCGGACCGTCGGCCTGGCCAGCGGCAGCGCTGATCGGCGGGGCGGCCGCGGACCGTCGACCCAACCCCAAGGGGGACGGACAGGGGACCGACCACGAAGACGACGACGACGACGACAACGACGACGACGACGACGACGACAACGACGACGACGACAACGACGACGTTGAAGACGACGGCGACGACGACGACGACGGCGACGACGAGCGAAAGCGAGAGCGAGAGAAAACGACAGCAGGGCCACCAAGGGCACGAAGTAGGCCACGAAGGGCGACAGCGGGGACACGAAAGGAATGCGTATGGGGCCACGAAGAGCGCGAACGAGCGGGGACCACGAAGTGCAGATAATGCGGGGCCACAGAAGGCATGGGGCCACTGAGGGTAGCAACTGGGCCACGTAGGACAGTGAGGGGGACACAAATGGCGACAGCGGGGCCACGAAGGGCATGCACATGGGGCCACAACGGGCGCGACTCCTGGGTGCCTGGGTGTCGGGAGCGCGGCGCTTGGGCAAATTGTAGGAAATTCCAACGAAAGGCCATTCTTCAGTAAGTTGTAAGCAGGTCTCCAGCGAGGTCTCCAGCGAGAGCGCGACTCCAGAGCGCCGGGAGAGCGATTCCAGAATCAATTGTAAGGGAGTCCCAAGCGAGAGCGCGATTCCTGAATAAAATGCGAGGAAGTCTCGGGCGGGAGCGGGGGTCCTGGCTAAACTGTAAGGAAGTCTCAGGCGGGAGCCGTTGTTGTTGTAACCCGGGGGCCAGGGGGCCAGTTTGAGCAGGAAGACTTTCCCTGTCAAAAAACAGGGTGCGAGCGTCGAGGGCCACACTTTGATACATAAAAAACAATATGCACCAGTGAGGGGGGATCAACAATACTTATTCTTCAGAAATGAGAATTCAACAACAACAACAGCAGCAGCAACAACAACAACAGCAACAGCAACCAAAACAGCAACAGCAACAGCAGCAGAACCAACAACAGCAACAACACCAATCAATTCACCCTCATGCGCGAAGTTTCCACACGAAGCATGCGACCATCATGTAACCATCCACATCATGGGGGACTCTTGTTCTATAGCGGAGTCCGTCATCCCCATCCCCTGATCTCCCGCCCAATGAGGTCTTGCAATGACATCCTCCGAGGAATTTCAACACATCCCGCCTCGAAAACACGTGCCCGCGCCTTGCTGCGCCGATGCGAGACCGCCAGTGGAACCATAGCGAAGGGTAAAGCCCAAGGAAGTATCGAACGACAGGATTGCCTTGGTGGGGATGGGGGCTGTCGGCGGTGAGGCAAGGACCTGGCCCTGAATAGAAAGGGAGGAAGTCTCGAGCAGGGCTGCTGTTGTTGCTGGGAGCGGCAGAGGGCCGGGAGCGGCGCCACGCGGCGATTTTTTTTTTGTTCGGCGGCGAGGAGGCAGACCGCCTCGAGTGAGAAGGGAAACAAAAAGCATCGAGCGGGAGCCGTGGTTTTGTCGGGACGGGGGTTGTCGGCGGCGGGGAACAGCACCGTCTTCAGGACAAAGGGAGGACACCCCTCGAGCGGGAGCGTTGATCTTGCTGGGAGCGGCGCCAACTCGAGAGATAATAGGGCGCCAGTCCAGCGCAAAACGGAAAGAAGTCTCGGGCGGGAGCGCTGGTTTTGTCGGGGTGGCGGTTGTCGGCGGCGAGGAGGAGCACCGCCCTGAGTAGAAAAGGGAGGAAACCTCGAGCGGGAGCGTTGTTTTTGCTGGGGTTGGCGCCGATGAGAGAAAGACTAGCGCGACAGTCCAAGGTAAAACGGGAGGAAATCTCGAGCGGGAGCGCTGGTTTTGTTAGGACGGCGGCTTTCGGCGGCGAGAACGCCAGCCCTGAGCAAAAAAGGAGGAAGTCTCGAGCGGGAGCGTTGTTGTTGTTGTTGTTGTTGTTGTTGCTGTTGTTCGGGGGCCGGTTTTGGCGGTCCCCCAAACCGCTCGAGCGTGAGCCTCATGTTCAGCGAAAGTGTAGCCGGCGCCTCGGCGAGAGCGCCAGGGCGCCTGTAAGGGGTCCAACAATGATACTTGTTTGGTAATCAACATCCAACAATCATTTCAAGACTGTTCGCTGGCCCCACCGGAGCCGCCCCATAACCTTCTGCGGCAATTCCGGAGCCACCCGGGCGCCCACGGGACCACCTTGGGGGCCACATCGGGCGCCCCTGGGGCCAATGGACGCCCCCATGGGACCCCCGGGGCCGTGGTTCCGAGCCCGCCCCCAGCCTACTCCGGTACGTATAGATGCGTGTATGCAAATATGGAAGTATGCAGGTACGTGTATATATCTATAAATAAATACGTGTTTATATATATATATGTGTAAATATACATGTATACACGTGTGAGCTATAAATGCATATACACATATAAGTACATATGATTTACAAGGCATGCCTACAAACACACACACACATACGCACTTGTAGCCACACACCTACAGACATGTGTACATACATACATACATATGTCCACACATACATACATGCATGCATGCATGCATACATATATACATACATACATACCTACATACATACATACATACGTACACAATCCTACATACATGTATGCATGCATACATACATACATGCGTACATAATGACGTAAATGCATGCATGCATATACATGTACGCATATACATGAATACAGACACACACACATATATATATAAGAGAGAGAGAGTGAGAGAGAAAAAGAGAGCGTGATCCACCGCCGCTTTACTGTGGAAAATTGCCGCCCTTTTCCTCCGGAACCCGGGGTTCCCCCCCCCCCCTCCGAAAATCCCCCCCCCCTGCTGGACCCCCCCCCCCCTTCCCCCGGCAAAACCCCCCCCCTCCCTTAACCCCTCCCCCCCCCCCCTCGAACTCGAAAACCGGGGGGGTCACTACCGGTTCGAACCCCCCCCCACCCCCTCGAAAACCGGAGGGGGGGGTCACTACCGGTTCGAACCACAGAGCTGTCCCACTGTTTCCACCACTGTCCCCACTGTCCCCACCACTGTCCCCACTGTACCTCTGTCCCATTGTCCCACCGCCGTCCTCGCCACCGCCTTCACCACTGTCACCACCAACACTGTACCCTCCACTGTCCTACTGTTTCCACCACATTCCCACTGTCCCCACACCACTGTCCCGACCACCACCGTCCCCACCACTGTCCCACTGTCCCCACTGTCCCACCATTGTCCTCACCATTGTCCCCACCACTACCGTCCCCACCACTGTCCCACTGTTCCCACCACTGTCCCGCTGTCCCCTCACCACTGTCCCCACTACCACCGTCCCCACCACTGTCCGCACCCCCCCTCGGTTTTCGAGAGGGGGGGGGGGGGGGGTTCGAACCGGTAGGGACCCCCCCCGGTTTGCGAGTTCGGGGGGGGGGGTTCGAACCGGTAGTGACCCCCCCTCTTTTCATGATGTACTGGGGGGGGGCGGGAGGGGTTCGAACCGGTAGTGACCCCCCCGGGTTTTCCGGAGGGGGGGGGGGGGAGGGGTTCGAACCGGTAGTGACCCCCCCTGGTTTTCTGCCAGCAGCGGTAGAACACGCACTGTCATCTATATATATATATATATATATATATATACATACACATAAACACATATACGTACATGCATTCAAACATACCTAGATACATATGTTCGCACATACGTATATAGATACATACGTACATACATAATCATAAACATCGCCGTGCATGCAAACATGCATACGTGAACGCACGTGCATGTAGACATACGTACATACATGCATGCATACATACATACATGCATACACACAAACATACATACACACATACACACATACACACATACACACATACATACATACATACATACATACATACATACATACATACATACATACATACATACATACCAATACATGCATACATGCATTCATACATACGCACATGCATACATACATACGTCCGTACACACATGCATGTACGCATGCATACATTAATATATACGCACACATATAGACATGCATACACGCCTACATGCATACATACATACGCACATATACACAAACACACATAGGTGCATGCATGCATGCATACCTACATGCATAGATACATTCAGTATTACCCACGTGCATGCATACATGCGTGCATGAATGCGTGCATGCACGCATGCAAGCATACCTGCATTCACACATACACACATACACATACATATACACATACAGACATACGTGTATGCATGCATACATATTCACACACATACATAATTACACTCATACATACAAGCATGCATACATACATTCATGCAGGCATGCATGCACACGCAGCCATACAATCAAGCATGCCTGGATGCATGTAGACCTTATCCATGTATTACATACATATTTATAGATATGTTTACACATACCTTTGGACAAACATAACTACATACTTACATGCACACGTACACACATACATACATACAGGCATGCATGCATACATACATACAAACACACATAGCATGCGCATCACGTATCCATGCCTCCTGCCCACCGCCTGCCAGACCCCAGGAAGCTCGGCCTGCCAAGGCGGCGGGCATATGGACAAGCACGCAGCCCCGGGCTCCTGCGCCCGGGCCCGGGTGAGCTCGACCATGGCGGGGTCCAGGTCGAAGGTGAGCAGCTCCGCCGCCCTCCTCGGACCGGCGCGCCTCCTCCTCCTCCTCCTCCTCCTTCTTCTCCTCCTCCTCCTCCTCCTCCTCCACCTCCTCCTCCTCCTCCTCCTACACCTCCTCCTCCTCCTCCTCCACCTCCTCCTCCTCGGACCGGCGCGCGGGCGAGGGGGGGCGGAGGCAGGAGGGGAACGTGCCTCCCAAGAGGGCAATGGGGGTGGGCCTGTGAGCTCGGGGACCTGATCGTCGTCGTCGTCGTCGTCGTCGTCGTCGTCGTCGTCGTCGTCGTCGTCGCCGTCGTCGTCGTCGTCGTCGTCGTCGTCGTCGGCGCTCGTGAGGAGAAGCTCACGGGGCACGAGTCGGGGACCTACGGACCTGGATCAATCCATACCCCTGCAGGATCCTGCACCTAAACCCCGGGTCAGTGCAGCCCTGGCTCTTCAGGATCCTGCAAGATCTGGCGCTCTGACTGACCCCCTTTTGCATTGACACCTGTCTCTTGAGGCCCGATGAGAGGGGCCCCCCAGCCATCCGGAGCCTGGAATAACGGGGCATCTGGCGCCTCGGCAAACATCGAGGAGGATGCGTGTCATCGCTTGCTTCGGCATCTCAGGACCCTTCCTGGGACTCGGGACGGAGAAAAAACGCTCCGGGACGAGAAACGGATCCTGGAGCGCGGAGCGCGCGCGATGACGGTCCGGCGGGACCGGCCCTATGAGGGCGGCGCGGGGGGGCTGGAGCCCTCAGTAGTCGGCCTGGGACTGGTGGTCGATCTGGATAGAGGTGGTGTGGGGCGTCGGATGTTGGTGGCTGGATGTCTGGATGTTGATCTAGTGTAGTCTGGAGCCCAATGGGTAGACGCGGAAGTGGAAGTGGAGAAACGGGTCCTGGGGAAGTGGTCGAGAGGTCGGGGGCCCGTGTCTCGAAACATCGGAACGCTGGATGCCTGGGCCCCGAGGGGGCCGGGCCTCTCAAGGAAGGACTCGCGGCGGCTCGTGGCCTCTTTCGATCGGCCCGCTCTGGTTTCTCGTAAAATGGAAGCCACACACACACACACACATACACCGGGGTATGCCAAACTCTGCCCGACATGTATTGCACATGTTTAGTGAAACGACTGACGCCCGCAAACCCCTAATAATGCCAAGAATGAAGGGCACGACGGCGGCCGCGAACCTTTGCGGTCGTGCTCCAATCCTGTGTCTCTATCCTGGAAGCAGAATAGTTACTTCGGGCATGGCCTCCTACAGGGGGATCTGGGAGGAAAAGCGAAACATATCCAAAACATTCCAAACAAAAGATCCAACATATAGTCGAAGACTCGTCCCGATAGACTGTTAGCTTCTGCTCCTATTCCTTCTCCTACGCGTTCTTTTCGTCATTGGACAAGCGGTCCCCCCTGTGACCCAAAAGGCTGCGGAGAAGACAAGGGGAGCAGAGGGGGAAGTGAGACGGATGCAAGCAAGTGCGGAGGGAGGGTGCAGAGAGACTAACTACGCTTCACATTTGTGAATCCGCGTTTGTGGAACTGTTGCTGGGTATTCCTCCTGTAGAGGGACAGGCCCGACTCAACAGAAGAGCCATCCTGTTCTCCTTACGCGAGGCAGCGGCCCCCGCAGGGGCCTCTCGAGGGGGGCCCCCTCGCGGGCCCGGCTGGACCAGCTCGGGCGGCCATCATCGTGGTCTCACCTGGCTAGCTTGTTGCCATCAGGGAGCCTCTCTCTGGCCTCCGCCTCCTCGTCCTCCTCCTCCTCCTCCTCCTCGGCGCCCACTGGGGCCGTCCTAGAGGCCACGGGGAGCCTGGAATCCTCGAGAAGCCTGACCCCAGGGACTACAATCTGGCGCGGGGGTGTATTGGCACACCCGTCATGGGACGGAAATGATATCGGCACGGTGCCCAACAGCAGTGCCTGTGCATGTGGAGCGAGAGTAGCTGTGGTTCGAAACCCTCCTGACAAACACTCTTGTAAGTTTGACAACAGGCATTGCCTACTTGGACAAGATGTGTGGTCAAACGGGCAAGAACCGCTGACACAAATTCATGATACTTGAGAAAGAGAACTACTCGAATTTGTTGTAAGGCTATAGTGTTGTATGGCTGTAGGGCTAAAGGGCTACAAGGCTATAAGGCTCTGGGGCTATAAGGCTATAGGGCTCTAGGGTTATAGGGCTATAGGGCTATTTAGAAGGCTACAAGGCTATAAGGTTAGATGGCTGTATGGCTATAAGCTGTTAGGGCTATTAGGGCTATTAGGGCTATCAGGCTATACAGCTATAAGGCTTGAGGGCTATAGGGCTACCGGGCACCCGGGCACCCGGCCACGCTGCCGAAATCGGCGCCACAACAAACCTAACCATATGAGTCCGCTAGGACACCTACAGACGCAAGCTCTGATTGGGGAAATATGACAGGAGTGTTGCCCTGTGGACCCCGAAGCACAGCCGACATTGTTCTGGAGCAAGCAATGGGGCTGGGCATCACGCCCGTAGTTGCCGTCCCGATTCTGGGCGTGCAGGAAACAGCGGGGGCCCCTGGGCCCAGAGACCCCGTCGCCAGTAAGAACACATGCGGCAGGCAGACACTGGCGGCGCGCCCATGGGGGGCAAGTGAGAGGGGGGCAGGCCTTGTCTCGGGGGCGCGCAAACGAGGACTAGCGATCCATGGATTTGCCGCGCGGTCGCCAAATCCATGGATCGGGGGAGGTGCCCTCCCTAAAATGCGGCGGGTCCCGCCTAGTTCGGCGGCGGAAATCCACGATTTTCCATGGAAGCGAGACCTTTCGCTAACCCACGCCCCCCTGCCCCCCTGATTCTGAGAATCAGGCGGCGGGTCCCCCTTTCGCCTGACTCTCAGAAGGCGGCGGGGCTCCTCAGAGGCCATGGCCTTCTGAGAAGCCGCCCGCGTCTTGGGAGAAGGCCTGCCGAGAAGGTCCGCCGCCCCTGCATGCCCCCGGGGTTCGCCGCCGATGCAGCCGGCGTCGCAAGAAGATAGCGTGCAACGTCGATCGCAGGACAGGACGCTTTCCCTGCGAGGCGATCCGCCCGCGAGGGTCCTTCTGCGCACGCCTTCCCCCGCGGGCCGGCGGCGTCACGTCGCACGCTGTCTCTGCAACGCCAACCGTACCCAGACACGCGACGTCCAGATTTGCTCGACGCGCGGTCCCCAACAAGATCCTGCAAGATCCTGCAAGATCCTGCAAGATCCTGCAGGATCCTGCACCCAAACCCGGGTCAATGCGACCATGGACCTGCAGGATCCTGCAAGATCGTGCCCCCCTGGCTGACCCCCGTTTGCGTTGACCCCCGTCTCAAGGCTCCCGACCCCAGCGGCCCGACCCTCTCCCGGGGACCAGCAGATTGTCTCGAGTCGTGCTCGTCACGGTCCTGGAGCCCTGCGACGGCCCTCAATCAAACCTCCCGTCCGGATGTTGTCCCGCCGCGAGCACGTTTGGGCACGTACAATGACCAACAAAAAACGGCCCCATAACCCTTCGGGAAGGGACGTCAAATAGGAGGGCCAAAATCATGGATAGGGGGTATTGTTCCGGAGAAGTGTGAGACCAAACCACCCAAAATTAGCCCCGAATGCGAAGACGGGGAACCCAATGAGACCACGTAGTCATCGAGCCATTCAGTAACGTCGGGCGTGTCCTCCTACAGGCGGAGCTTGGACGAAAAAATAAGAACTGTCCACAAATGGTCATCAATCGTCGAAACATCGTCCCCGGACTCTTTGTTTGTATTCTTGCGTATTCCTCCTGTACAGGGACACGCCCGACTTAACCGTAGGGTTGGCGGCTTTTCGTGTTCCCGATGGTAACAACTGCAGGGGCCCCTCGCGCGAAAGCCCTTCACTGGCGCCGCCGGCTCCGAGCGGCCGGGACGGTGAAGGTCCCGTAGCCGCACCCCAGCTCCACCACCCTCGCGCCGCAGCCGGGCAGCAGCCCCAAGCGGTCCAGCGTGCCCTCGGCCACGAGCGGCCAACACATCTCCAGACATGCTCGGGTCGCTAGGTCGTTCGATCGCATAACCACATACGTTCCCCAAACAGTGCTTACGCTCAGGGGATCCTGCCGTTGCTCTGTGGAGCTGGGCCGCGTCTTCGGTCGGGCGGCTATGTGGCCGCCGTCGCCGCCTGGTCGCCGCCCGTCGACCGGGTTGTGTCTGAAGTGTGGCGGCCATATGGCCGCCGGCGCCGCCCCGTCGCACCTCCCTCGCCGCCCGTCGTCTGGGCCTGTCTGTTGGGTTGCACAATATAGATGACGCCGCGTAGATCGCACCACAAGTATAGCACCGCATGGATTCTAAGAGAGTGTTGGGACCTCCCCCCCCCAGGGGGTTAACGGCACACTCTTCGTAACGCAATGTACATATGGTTATGCCGCATCGTCCGTCTTAGATACGATTGGCATCGGTTCCCCCCTCACCCTGTGCATCAACATTTGCGCGCGCACTCCTTTTCTCAAGCAACAGCAATTCCAAGCAATCCCTTTCAAAAAAAAATGAAATGCACACGCGCGTCGTCGCGCGCGCGTGCCTGAAGATTTCAGTAGAAACGATCGGCGTCTTAAAGAAGTTCAAAATCGAGTGTCCCGGGAACAAATGTTTCATATATACATCTATATATATACATATATATATACACACTTATACATCTATCTATATATACTACAAACACGCGCGCGCTACGCGCGCTCAGGTTCTAGTCGCGGCATCATGGCGCCAAAGGATGCACCGACAAGCAGTGCCATCGACAGCGGATCTCGTTCCAGGGGGTCCTAACGGCCGACCCTCCTGGAACCTTGGATTTCTCGCGCCACGCTGCCCGCAGGAGGAGGGGGCGGAGGAGGAGGAGGAGGACGAGGAGGCGGAACGGCGGTGGGGCACTAAGGGGAGGGGCGGAAAGAGGTGGAGGTGGAGGTGGAGGAGGAGGAGGAGAAAGAAGTGCGCAGCAGCAGCACCAGCAGCAGCGTGAGCAGAATGCGGAGTTGGAGGCAGGGGGGGAGGAGGAGTAGAAAGAGAAAGGATTGGAGTTTCCGCGAGCTCCGCCGCGCGCTTTGCCGCGTGCGGCCGCAGCGGGGCCGCAGGAGAGGCCTTGTGGAAGTGCTTGGAACCGCTTTGACGGCCACTTGGGCTGTCATGGGCCCAGCTTCAGCTGCCTCGGGGTACTCCTGGGCCCCCCTGGGTGCAGTTTGGGCAATCTGGGTGCCTTGCTGGGCCGTCTAAAAAGGCCGCGTTGGGAGCCCCAGGCGCCGCAGTGGGCGGTTTGGGCTTTGGGGAGCTTCCCTGGAGGCCTCTGGGAGGCCTGTGGGAGACTTGGGGCACCGGGCGGCAGCAGCCTCTGGAGTTCCCTGCAACCTCTTGGGGCTCTGTTGGCTCCGGGTCGCCGAAAGCTGGTAATACAAAAGAGGGAACGTGCGCGCCGATCCTCCCATGCGGAGCCATCTGGGGACAAGGTTGGGAGCCTCCGGGGCCGAACCGGGACGGTCTGGGCGTCCTCTGGGGTTGCCGTACAGCGTGGGGATGCATGACAGGCTGCATGGCAAAAAAACGTGGAAACATCGATGGGAAAACCAAGTATTTGAGCTTCGGGGAACTCTCCTGGAGGCCTCTGGGAGGCCTGTGGGACACCTGGGCCACCAGCCAGGAGCAGCCCCTGGGAGCTCCCTGCAACCTCTTGCGGCTCTGTTGGCTCCCGGTCGCCGAAACCTGGTAAAACAAGCACAAGGAAAGTAAGGCCCGGGGCCCCCCATCTGCCGCCGATGTCCCTGGGCGGGACCCCCCGACCACGCCCCCCCCGGGTATAAATAAATATATATATATATATATATATATGTATGTGTGTTTATATATATATATGTATATATATACATACATACATACATACATACATACATACATACATACATACATACATACATACATACATACATACATACATATATACATGCATGCATGCATGCATACATACATACATAACTACATTCATACATACATACATACATACATACATACATACATACATACATACATACATACATATAAATATACATACATACATACATACATACATACATACATACATACATACATACATACATTACACGATGGTTTCGCAACAAAGGGTTTGCCAGAAAAGCCTGGGCCTGTGCTGTTGCAAATTCGTAAGAGAACCAAAGGTTGATTCAACATGTTCATACAATGCTACCGAGAACGGGCCCAATCGCGCGCGCATGTCGAAATCGCACGAACGCCATTGCGCGCGTGCGGTCGCAAGAATCCGTTGCCAAACAATGCGGCGACGTGCACACGCGCGCATCGCGCATGCCGAAATCGTTCAAAGTCTAGGTCCCACAAAAGGGTTTCAGAGCGGGCGGCCCCGATACATTTAAGAAACACATGGTTTTGCAACCTCAGCTTTTAGAGCAAAGCAAAACACCTGCGCTCGCGGTCTTCAATATCCATAAGAAAACCCATGGTTTTTCAACATCTTCATCAAAGTCTGCCCAACGGGCCGCTCGCGCCGCATGTCGAACTCATCCGAACGCCATTGCGCGCGCCCTTCGGGCCGGGCAAAAGGGGGGGATAGCAAAGAGGGGGGTGATAATCAGTTCACGTAGTTTATTTTCCTGGCGCCTCCCGGCGCGTATCGAGGAATAGGCCTGGCGGCGGGGCCGAAACCAGCTGCATGCAGCAGATTTCGTAACCCCCCTTTTTCCCTATCCCCCCTTTCGTTCGGCCCGAGTCCTGGGGGGGGACACGATCCGTGTCAAATCATACCATATGGGGCACTTTTGATGCCCCGTGGGGCTCGTCAGGGTCCGTTCGCGGCCTCTTCGGGCTTCTTCTGGGACTCGAGGGGGCTTCGTGGTGAGTCTCGAGGGCTTCATGGGGGAGGAGGAAGGAGGGAGGAGGGAGAAGGGAGGAGGGAAGAGGGAGGAGGGCGGAGGGCGGAGAGAGGAGGGCGAAGGGCGGAGGGCGGAGGGAGGAGGGGAGGAGGGAGGGGAGGGAGGAGGGAGGAGGGAGGAGGGGGAGGAGGAGGGAGGAGGAGGGAGGAGGAGGAGGGAGGAGGAGGAGAGGGAGGAGGAGGAGGAGGGAGGAGGGAGGGAGGAGGAGGAGGGAGGAGGGAGGAGCTTCTGGCGGTTCCGCGGACCTCCTGGGACCCTGCTGGGGCTATCTTCTTGGGGCCTTTGAAAGCTCTCTGGGGAAACTCTGGGGACCTCCTGGGTGCCTCTCGGGAGTAGTCTGGGCAGTCGTACAGCCGTCTCGGGAGCATGTTGCGCCGTCTTGGGCCCACGTTGCGACTCTCGTGAGGCGATCCTGGGGCAATCTAGAGGCGTGAAAATCCCACCGGAAGCGAAAAAGCAAGAAAGCGAATAAGCACATGAAAAACACGACGGTCTTCTACGATCTGGGGCCCTCGGGGGCATCCTAGGAAGACCCCAGGAGGTCACAAGATAACTACGCTGGGATCTTCTTGGGACAGTCGGAGCTTGCGCGGAATTGTGGGAGCCTCCTGGGGAAGCCCAGGGGCCTCGTGTGACTAGCAAGCCACCCCCTGAACCACTGGGGAAATCTCTAAACGCCAACATGGTCACCTCAAGAGCTCCCGGACGCCTGGGGACAGACTGGGCTACCAGGGGGGGGAGAACTCCGGGTGGTGTGCCAGGCTGGGCCCTGGGCCCCAAGTGCCGCTGTATACTATAAAGCGCAATGCGAGCGATTGTAAAAGACTTTCTTGTTTTTAACCCCCAGTTCACGCTGAGTTATTTAGGTTTCCTGTCGAGAAGGTGGGCGAGAGACCTCGCGCAGTGTGACAGTGTGCGGCAGTACCAACAATCAGCCTGATGTGGGAAGCACCCATCAGCCTCGCGGCGTCCCTGGAGCACGCACAGGCAGCGCTTCACCAGCGAGCGATTGTAAAAGACGGACGGCTTTGGGCCATGCTCGGCCTCTGGGGGCCCTCGTCCTGCGCCCCTTCGCCACGAGCGGCAGGCGCGTCGTCGTCGCCGTCGTGGCCGTCGTCGTCGTCGTCGTCGCCGTCGCCGTCGCCGTCGCCGTCGCCGTCGCCGTCGCAGTCGCCGTCGTCGTCGTCGTCGTCGTCGTCGTCGTCGTCGTCGTCGTCGTCGTCGTCGTCGTCGGCGGCCCCTGTGACTCTGGCGGCTTAATTCTTTCGAGGCGGGCGTTTTCGCCCAGGTTCGGGCCCCTGGGAGCCTCACATATCGATCCGCCTCGCAAAAACTGAGCAGAAAGATGGGGTCTAGGGCTCCAGTCATGATTATTTCGTCTTTGCTTTTTGTTCGAGACGTTGAATCTCAGGGTTGTCGTCGTCTTTGTCGTCGTCGTCGCCGTCTGACGACAACGGCGCCGGCGACGATGGCGCGCATGCTCGAGCGCTGAAGCCTGGGCTGCGGGACGGAGGAATGAAACGCAGACATGTGCGCGTCGTATATATATACATAGAATAAGAATGGTGATGATACTATGAAAAAATAAAAATGACTATAGCAGGAAGATATAACTCATAAGTCTAACACCAATAATGCCGTTGTATACACATCAAAAGAGAGGGGCGGTGTTTGGCCCTCCCTGGCCTCTGGAGGCCCTCCCTGGGCGCCAAGACCTGCCGACAGTGGCTCGGGACGGAACACCGGCCCCCAGTGTTTTTATATGAGACAGCGCCACAAAGAACGCAAAGAGGTGGATCACTTGCAGACCGGAGCTGTGTATTGCCGAACGAAGTCGCGAATTCTTGCCGTTCTCGTTCGCGCTTCGCCTGTTGAGCAAGTACTGAAGCACGCTCATCAGGATTGGCTGCCTCCTCTATTTTTTTTTGTTGGGAAGGTTTGCAAATTTGCTCTGCGTCAAACGTCCGGGGGGGGGGAGGGCCGGGCCTTCCGGGGGCCCCGCCCCGAAGGCCTCGGGGCACCGCCTGCCCGGGTCCACCGCCGCGCCCTCGCGGCCGGGATCCCCGGGGGCGTAGGGGCGCCATGCCGCGGACGCGCGACCCGCGTGGACGCGCTCCGCGCGGAGCGTCCGCGCTGAGAGGACACGGCCCGCGCCCGCGGGGTCGGGGCCGGGGGGGCCCGACCCGCGAGGCCCCCGTCGCCGTGGACCGAAAACAGGGCTATAGGATCGGGACAAACCGCTCCAGAGCGTTCCGGAGCGCTCTCAGAGCGTGCCGGAACGCTCTGGAGCGGCCGCGGCGCCCAATACGTCCGCCAAGCCCGCCGATTCTCAGAGATTTCGATAGTTATCCCGATCCGATGGGATTGTGTCCCGATCTCCGTGTCGTTGTAATGGACCCCTTTCCCGCCCACGGCCTCGGGCTCCACCAGCGTCTCCCAGTACTCCCGCGGAGGCATGCCTGGGGGAGGGCGACGCCGGCCGCCACGGCCGAGAGCCGCCGCGGGCGGCGCGGAGGAGAGAGGCCGGCAGGGCGAGGGGGGGGGGGCGCTCGTCCGAGAGGCGGGGGCGGGGCCTCGCACGGGGCAGCGGGGCCTCCTCCTCCTGCTCCTGCTCCTCCTGCTCCTCCTCCTCCTCCTCCTCCTCCTCCTCCTCCTCCTCCTCCTCCAGCTCCTCCTGCTCCTCCTCCAGCTCCTCCTGCTCCTCCTGCCCCTGTTGTGAGGTCGGGCAGGTCCTCCTGCAGGCGGCTGGTGAGGGAAACATAGGACATATAAGCCCGAACATATTCAAGAGGTGCCACACGTAGCTTGCACAAAAATACCGTCCCCTGGCTTCTGTTGGACTGGCTCTGAATCTTCCTCCTGTTAGAGGGACGCGCCGGGCTGAAGCCGTCGAGGGACCGTCCCGCCTCCGAGGAGGCGAGGACGCTCCCGGACGACCGCCCTCGCGCCCCGGCCGCTGCCGCGCGCACTCGCTCGGCGGGCGGGGCGCTCCGGGCACCTCCGGGAGGTGCCCTCGGCGCTGCGCGGCCGGAGGGCATCCCGAGGCCGGGACACCTCCGATCGCGAGAGGCTCTCAACAGCTGCTGCCGTCCTTCGGCTCGCGCTGGAGCGGCCGCGAGTGGCTCCGACTGTCCCTTGGGATCTCTGGATGTGCCCTGGTTCACCAGGATCTACCTGGATGCACCTGGATGTACTTGGGTATGCCTCGATGTACCTGCATTTTCCAGGACTTCTCCGGCCCCTTCCCTTTCCCTTCCCCGACGGGGGGGGGAGGGGGGGTCCCGGGGGGGGTCCCGGGGGAGTCCCGGGTCAGATACGACGGCCCCCCCGTACCGACCTTGAGCAACGTCGTAATTGAGTCGAAGGGAAGCCCCTTCCCTTTCCCTTCCCCGACGGGGGGGGGAGGGGGGGTCCCGGGGGGGGGGTCCCGGGGGAGTCCCGGGTCAGATACGACGCCCCCCCCCCGTACCGACCTTGAGCAACGTCGTAATTGAGTCGAAGGGAAGCCCCTTCCCTTTCCCTTCCCCGACGGGGGGGGGAGGGGGGGTCCCGGGGGGGGTCCCGGGGGAGTCCCGGGTCAGATACGACGCCCCCCCCCCGTACCGACCTTGAGCAACGTCGTAATTGAGTCGAAGGGAAGCCCCTTCCCTTTCCCTTCCCCGACGGGGGGGGGAGGGGGGGTCCCGGGGGGGGTCCCGGGGGAGTCCCGGGGAAGTCCCGGGTCAGATACGACACCTCCCTCCCCCACCTTCTCGTCCTTCTCCCCGTTCCCCAAAACCATCCCACAGCCCGTGCCTCTTGCTGCGCATTGCGAACAGGGTCGGCGGCACCGGCCGTAAGGCCTTCGCAATAAATACACACAAATGAAATAATTCCCCATATTTTCCCAGATTTTTTGAGTTTGTGTCTTGCCCCCCACTTTCTATATTTTCCCATATTTTCCTGGGAATCAACGAATAATTGTGTCTGTGTGTTTTTCCCCTCCTGAATAGGGCCGGGTTCTCGTCCTGAGAAATTGTTGACGGCCCCCGGGGCGAGTGGAGGGGCCCCGGAGCCCGAGAATTCGGCCAAGAACTGTGATGGGCCGATGCTCCACCAGCACTACCATACGTAGGAGAGGGAGGAGGAGGAGGAGGAGGAGGAGGAGGAGGAGGAGGAGGAAGAGGAGGAGGAGGAGGAGGAGGAGGAGGAGGAGGAGGAGGAGGAGGAGGGGGAGGGGGAGGAGGAGGAGGAGGAGGAGGAGGAGGAGGAGGAGGAGGAGGAGGAGGAGGAGGAGGAGGAGGAGGAGGAGGACCTCCCCATCCTTCCCTCTTCCCGCTCCACGTCTGGCAGTGGTGGTGGAATCTTGGCCCGTCAAACTGGCCGCTCCGACTTCCTCGGAGCCTCGGTCCTCTGGGACTGGGCGGCGCGCACAAGGCGGTGGAGGGAGGGGGGAGGGCTTCTCAGAAGGAGCCTGCTTCTTGGAAGGCGCCGGCCTCGCCTCTGCAGAGAAGGCCCGCGCCTTCTGAGCAGCAGGGGTGCTTCTGAGAAGCCCTCCCCCTTCCCCTCGGCGCCCTCTGCGCGTGGCTGAGGGGCGAACGTTGCCCCCGAACCGAAGGCACCGCTCTCCCGCACCCGGCCGCTGGGCACCGCGGCGCCGCCCGGCGGCGGCGCCGCGGCGGCGGCGCCCAGCGGGGCCGCCCCCGCGCCGGCGCGCCTCGCGCGGGCGCGCGCGGGCAGCGCTGGCGCTCGGCGCGCGGCGGCCACCTCGTGGGGAGGTCGGGCATGCCCTCCTACAGGCGGGCTTTCGTAGAGACGACAGATCTCAAACATGGCCAGAACTGGTCGAGAAACCGCCCCCTGGGCTCTCTCTTCTGGCCATGCTTGAACGTGCCCGGCTCGAACCTGTGGCAAGGAGGCCTCCCAGAGAGGGGCTCCGCGCGGATGGGGCCCGAGGGCCGCGCCGCCGCGCCGAGGCATCGGCGACGTCGGCGAGATGAATCCCCAGACCTCCTCCTGCGACGGGAGAGGTCTTTCTCTATTTTCGGTCTCCCGGGGCCCTTCCCGGGCCCCGGGGCCGTCAAAAAACGACTCAGGAGGAAAAACCGGACCCTGGGAAAGGGTCCAGACCTCCGGGGGTCGACGGTGCCACAAAATCACAACGTCGGGGGTCTGGGTCGGCGACGTCGGCGTGGAGAAGATGGGACTCCACGCCGAGCCGCATCGTCGATGCATCGGCAATGCGGTGAGATTCTCGGACCCCATCTGCTCCGGCCTCGTCTGGGAGGGCTAGATCTAAGCATCGTTCAACCGATCCCTATCCCCACCAGCGTGACCTGGGCTGTAGGCGTTCCCTTCGAGTTGCGAGGGGCATATGCCCAACTGGGGTGGTGGGATGGTGGGGCTGAGATACTATGGTCCGGTGGAGATCGGACCTCCCCTCAGATACAGGCGTGACAGCGAAAAATCGCGAAGGCAAGGCTTTCGCAATTTTCGGCCGCTGGAGGCAGTTCCCTGGCCCTCGGACCGTAACAAAAATGGCTCGGGATGAAAACCCAGCCCCAGGGCAGAGGTCGAGAGCTTCAGGGGCCGGCGCCACCAAAACACTGCAGCGTCAGAAGAAAGGGTCCAGAGGGGGAGACAGGGGTACCCGGGCTCGAAGTCCTTCGAGGTTCGAAATTCTTCTGTGGGACACACAAGGAGTGCCGCTGCTTCCTGGACCTCTCCTGAGGGTTTGACCAGAATGCCGAGGCAAACCCAGCCATGGCGACAAGGGCCCACCAGGAAGAGCAGCGGCACCTGCACCTTTTCTTAGCGAGCAACGACATATGTACATGTACGCCCTCCGCGATCTTGAATGCACGAACGTCCTCGTTCAAACGCCCTCCAGGGGAAGCTAACCGCGTACGTGTACATATGGTGCTGGCCTTTGATTTTCCTCCCCTGCGAACAGTAAGTGGCGGCACCCGATCCCGACTCCCACCGACCATCCATTCCCCGGAGTCGATGGGAGGCGGGGCTGGGGCTCGGGCCCGCCGCGTCTTCGATGATTTCTGCTCCTCCTCCTCCTCCTCCTCCTCCTCCTCCTCCTCCTCCTCCTCCTCATGCTTCTCCTCCTCCTCCTCCTCCTCCTCCTCCTCCTCCTTCCCCTCCTCTCCCTCCTCCTCCTCCTCGTCCTCCTCCTGCTCCTCCTCCTTAGGTGGACCTAGGCCTCCTAGATGGGGTCCGAGTTGCCTGCATCGTTGATCGGCGATGGTCGGGTTCGGATCGCGCCGCCGACTGAGTGCGAGTAGGGTGCCGACAGGGCCGACGACCCAGACGTGAGGCGCTCCAATGTCTTCGATGCGTGGAGCTCGGAAATGAGAAGGGACCGACCGTCCCGGCATTCCTATAGCCCTACCACGAAATAATCTTAGAACCCAAAAATGCTCTAAGAACAAAAGCGATGTTCTTAGAACAGAAGCCCGGTGTGATAACACAAGACAGACTCCGCCAGAAATGTTCCAAGAACATTTCGTGGGAACCACAAAAGGTTCTTAGAACATTGTTTGGTAGGGCTATAGGCGAGCCAGGGCGCTTCGCCACTGCTTGACGGAGGGTCGGCTCTTCATCCTGCGTAGCTTTTCTACAGTCCCCAGGCCCGTGGACGGCCCCAGACGCCGAAAACAGCCCAAAAAAATTTGCGTCGGTGGCTGGGCAGAGGGACTGCGCTGGCGAGTAAAGCGACACGGGGCAACGTTGGGCGAATTCAGCCACCGGGCAGGATGGAGGGGAGAGGACGACGAGGCGCCGGCCAGGGTAGGGGCACGCTCCCATTTTTGGGAGCCCCGGCTCTCTGGGGAGGCCGCAGACGGCGCCGGCGACGGCGACGGCGACAACGACGACTGCGACAACGACGACGACGACGACGTTGACGACGACGACGTTGACGACGACGACGACGACGACGACGACGACAACGACGTTGACGACGACGACGACGACAACGACGACGACCACGAGGACCGCGAGGGCGGCGCCGATCCGCGCCATCGGCCGCCGCCGCGTCCGGCGCGGCCGCGGGGGGCGACGAGGCGAGGCGGCCGAGGGCCCTCGGCCTGCGGAGAGGGCTGGCGCGGCGCTCGGCGAGGGAGGCGGAGCCTGCGGCCGGCGCCGCGGAGGCAGCGTGCAGCTGCGGTCTCCAGAGGCACTGTCGTCGCGCACGAGGAAGCTTTCTCCGGGCACGCCAGGCCTGTGGAGCGATCCCCCTGGGCATCGCTTCCGGAAGGCACGTGGGACGCCAGGCGACGCGTCAAGAGCCCTTCGAATCGCATCGGGTACGCATCGTTGTCCTCCGTGTCGTCGTCATCCGCTGCCATCTCTCTTTCTCTCTCTCATTCTCTCTGATCTCTCCCACGTTCTCTCTCTCACTCTCTCGCTCTCTCTCTCTCTCTCTCTCTCCGTATCTCTCTCTCTCTCTATTCCTCCGTCTCTCTCTCTCTCACGATACATATATATATGTGTGTATATATACATGTGTACATATATATATATATGTGTATAGATGTATGAATCTAGCTCCCTTTATGCATGCATGCGTGCATGTACATATGCACGTATGTTTGTATACTGTAGTGTAGTACACTGTAGTATAGCCAAGTATAGAAATTCAACATACACTGTAGTACATATGCTGTACCAGATATCGGCAAAACGACAGATGTGTATCCTTCCCGTTGCCCCCAGCAGAGTCTACTTATGCTGATAGAGGCCTCCTAGATGGGGTCCGAGTAGATGGGGTCGGAGGATCTCGCCGCATCCCTGATACATCGGCGATGCATCGCCGATGCATCGGCGATGCATCGGCCATGCACTGGCGACATCGGTGATACATCCGCAACGCCGGCAAGAAGAAAATTGGGCCCCTCATCGAGCCGCATCGCCGATGCATCGCCGATGCATCGCCGATGCGGCGCGATCCTCCGACCCCATCTACTCCGACCCCATCTAGGAGGCCTGGAGCTGAGAGATTGTGTTTGGACTCTATCTCGCCCTCTCTGTTTATCTATATCTCACTCCTCTCTCTATACCTCCCCTACGCCCAACCCTGATATCTTGAACACCAATCATTGACATCCCAAATTACCTCAACCATCTCTCTACTCATATTATGACATATCACGTGGTCCCGAACACCAGTCCGAGAAGACCCCTCTCCCTCACCCTCCCTCTCCGCCTCCCCCTCCTCCCCCTCCTCCCCCTCCTCCTCCTCCTCCTCCTCCTCCTCCTCCTCCTCCTCCTCCTCCTCCTCCCTCCCCATCCCAGGCATACTGTCCCATCGAAACCCCAATCAGCCTCTTCCTCTGGCCGAACCTCCCTCCACCTCGCCGTGCCCGTCGTCCAACGAAGCAGCGCAAAGGGGAGGCAGACCTCGCAGTCGTACGGCAGCGTCGTCGTCTCCCGGGCGCTGGCCGCCATGTGCCCCTGGGGGCACCCCACCGCCCTGTGCTCGCAGCACCACTCCTGCCGACCGGGCAGGCGGGTGGGTCCCTCTCTCCATCCCTTGTCCACCACCACCTCCTCCTCCTCCTCCTCCGTCCTCCTTCCTGGTCCTCGTCCTCCTCCTCCTTCCACCTCCTTCTCCTCGTCGTCCTCGTCCTCCATTTTCCTCCTCCTCCTGCTCCTGCTCCTGCTCCTCCTCCTCCTCCTCCTCTTCCTCCTCGTTCTCCTCATCCTTTATCTCCTCCTCCCCACCATCTCGTCCGCCTACTCACTCCTACTCCTCCTCCCCCGCCTCCTCCATCTCCTCCGAACCTCATGCAGCAGAGAGGCAGACGTGAGGAGAAGGAACAGGAGGAAGACGATAATGACGTGTGTACTTCTTAGACTCCCGATGGAAATGTGTTTCGCTTCTCTCCGACGAGACAGCGTGCCAGTCAGAAACGTGAGCTGGCTCCTCCCCGGAAATCACGCTTGGTTGCCGAAGTGGCCTGATAGTCCAACTGGGCAAATTGAGCTCTGAGGCAGGGCAGTCGTGCACGAGCTGGCAGCTGGGAAACACGATGGCCTTGTCTATTGCCCGCGTCACTACGTAACCACACGCGAGCCGTACCTGTGCAGGTCGGAGATCTGAGAGGTCTGCTCGGAGATTGGATGGGTCGGCTAGGGCCCAAGATTGAGCAGGTGTCCGCAGCCAAAAGGACACCAGCGGGGTTGTCCGACACACTCACGGCGATGGGACCCCCCTAGGCGGGGCTCGCAGGTGGTCGCTGCTGTACCCAGTGTGGCCTGCTCGGCTCAGGACACATGCAGGCGCAGACAGTCCAGGCGAGCTCGTGCCACGAGCTGTCAGAGAGAGGCTGCGCCCGCGCGTGCCGCACACTGGAAGTTGCCCGGCAATGCCTGCGGCGATGCTGGGGGACCAGATCAGGGGGTCGCGGTCATCAGTTTTGCATCCGACGCGCTTGTGGCACCAGCAGTTGTCCGCTCTGGCACCCAAGCCCCCTGGCGCCTCCCTCCAGGATTGGATTCAGAGCACGATGACCCCAGCGGGGACCGTATGCTATGTGCTGCTTCACTTCAGCAATCCAGCCACTGAGATTCACCATGGGGGCCCTCGAGGGCAATATCGCAGAATTGAAAGTGTCTGAAGACTGGAACTACAACGCGGCCAGATCCGCACGCGGAACACGCAGAAGCCGCGCGCTGGATGCACACGCGAAGCTTGGGCGTCCTTAAGTATACGTTGGCCGAATGTCTGGTATCATTGTCTGGTATCATTGGTTTGCTTTGAGCTTGGAGCTGGGGGGAGGGCAAGGCGACACGAAATGGAGCCACAATCAGATTGCCGATTGTTCGAAATCGATGCGGCCCAATGTGCATCCAGTTTTGGACGAGGGGCGGAGGGCAGAAGAAACAGAAAAAACAATATGGAGAAGCGCTCTCGAATGGTCCTTCTTGTTCACGGACCACCCGGCTTCCCAATTCGAGTAGCCGGCCTCGCAGTCGAAGGGCTCCGACCCGTCTGCGCAGCCCCTCTGCTTCTGCTCGCAGCACCAGTCCTGGCAAAGGCTCCGGGGGAGGGAGGTGGCGGAAGAGCAGGACGAGGGGGAGGAGGAGGAGGAGGAGGAGGAGGAGGAGGAGGAGGAGGAGGAGGAGGAGGGAGGAGGAGGAGGGAGGAGAAGGAGGGAGGAGGAGGGATGAGGGAGGGGATGAGGGAGGAGGGAGGAGGAGGAGGGAGGAGGGAGAGGGAGGAGGGAGAGGGAGGAGGGAGGAGGGAGGGGAGGAGGGAGGAGGGAGGAGGGAGGAGGGAGGAGGGAGAGGGAGGAGGGAGGAGGAGGAGGAGGGAGGAGGAGGAGGAGGAGGAGGAGGAGGAGGAGGAGGAGGAGGAGGAGGAGGAGGAGGAGGAGGAGGGTGGTGCTGCGAGCACAGGGCGGTGGGGTGCCCCCAGGGGCACATGGCGGCCAGCGCCCGGGAGACGACGACGCTGCCGTACGACTGCGAGGTCTGCCTCCCCTTTGCGCTGCTTCGTTGGACGACGGGCACGGCGAGGTGGAGGGAGGTTCGGCCAGAGGAAGAGGCTGATTGGGGTTTCGATGGGACAGTATGCCTGGGATGGGGAGGGAGGAGGAGGAGGAGGAGGAGGAGGAGGAGGGGGGGGCAGTCCGCCGGCCTCCTTGCGGGGCCACCAGGCTGCGAGGATGAGGGTTGCAGTGCACTGCTGCACCAGTAGAGGAAAGAGAACTATGCACATGCACCGATTCTGGCCAGACCCATCCTGAGCCCATGATCGGTGCATACGCCCTCCTGCCTTGGCCAGGAAGGCGTATGCACCGATCCTGGGTCAAGGATGGGCCTTGCCTGGATCAGTGCATGTGCATAGTTCTCTTCGCCCGGACCAGGTTCATGTTCCAGTGCCCTGCACCAGACCCAGTTTCCAGTTTCCTGTGTTACAATCTTGCTTTCTGCTTCATGCTTTGAGTTGTCATTGTCCGCGCGAGGGGGAGGAACCCCACACCAGCAAAGTCACCACTTCCAAATCACGTCCTCAGAATGCTTGGGGGGGCGTGAGACACGTAAAAGTACGTTAATTACGCAATGCTCGCGTCCCCGAGACCACTAAACAAAGTATACAAGCCTTCCGTCTTCGAAGCAACAAACCCTCATAATTCAGGGCACTTTCGCGTCCCCGCAGCCAGAAACCATTGCAAGTTACGCCATCTTCGCATTGCCGACGCCAAGAATGCTCCAAAGCCCCGAAAATGTTTCCAAAACGGCCCCAGGAGCGCTCCGAGAGGCCTTCCGGAAGAGACCCGAGAGGCCAAAATCATAGATGGCACTCAAGTGTGTGAAGGATTCTGGCCTTCCCGTATTTTCGGCTGTCCGACGCTCCAAGATGGATCAAGAAGCTCCGAAGACCGCCCAACCACAGCCGAAGGAAGACGTCTCCAACAGGGCCCCAAGACGGCCCAAGAGGGCTCCTAGATGGTCCGAGAAGCACTCAAAACGGCCCATGAAGGCCCCAAGACGGCCCCAAGAGGGGCCAAAGCAGGGGACCACGAACCAAACAGTGGATATTCGTGCCCCAAGAAGCCTCCAAGAGATCCAAAAGATACCCCACGAAGCCCCAAGAGGCCCCCAAGAGGCGCCCAAACCGCCTCCAATAGGCCCTTTGGGGGCTCCAATAGGCCCTTTGGGGGCTCCCCACGACACCCCAACACATATACAAGAGGCCTCAGACCCACAATTCAGGCACGGTGGTGGGATCGGCCGAAGGCCACTAGGATCCGCCGCCCCCTGCTTGCAGGGGTGCACGGCGTGCTGGATGAGCTGTCAGGTTTTGGTTTTGGTTCTTTTTCCAAAAGAACTCCCCAGTGGGCTCCGGCAGAACCCGCCGGCCACCCGGAAGGTGCTCAACGACCGGAAAAAATCCTCCAAAAAACGGCCGTTTCGCTCGGGACATCCTCAAAAAATCGCGAAGATGGCCCAAGATGGCCTCCAAGTCCGCCCGAGATGGTCCAAGACGGCCTCCAAAACGGCCCAAGAGAGTCCAAGACGGCCCAAGACGGCCCAAGAGGCCCCCCAGAGGCCTCCCAGACGGCCCAAGAGGCCTCCAAGAGGTCCTCCAGGAGAGTCCGAAGAGGCCAAAATCATTGATTTTTCCTTGGTTTTTGAAGGATTCTGGCATTTGCGCCTTTTCGGCTCTCCGACGGCTCGAGACGGCCCAAGAAGCCCCCAAGATCGCCCAAGAGGCCCCCAAGAGAGCCCCATGATGGCCCAAGTGGCCTCCAAGATGGCCCCTAGAGGGCCCCAAGAGGGCCCAAGAGGCCTCCAACACGCCCAAGATGGCCTCCCAGACGCCCAAGATGGCCTCCAAGACGGCCCTGGAGCATTCCAAGCGGGCCCCAAGTCGGCCCATAGAGGCCCCCCAAACGGCTTCCGACGGCTTCAGACGTGCCAGGAACCCACCAAGATGGCCGAAGTTGGCTCGAAGCTGGCCCGAGACGGCCCAAAAAGCCCCAAAGATCGCCCAAAGCTTGCCCAAGAGGCCTCCAAGACGGCCAAGATGACCTTCAAGATGCCCACGTGTTCCCCGAAGGCTTTCCAAACCGATTCGGGGAACACGTGGTCCGATAGCTTGGCAGGTCTGGCCTCAACGTTCGGCCACATAGGCGCTTCCAAAAAGGCAGGGGGCGGCGGTGATTCGCCGTAGGCGTCTTCGATAATGCCACCGCCCAATATGCGCTGATGATTTCTATCCTCCTCGCGCGATGTTCCCAGATGCGCCAAGGCAGCACGGAGACGCACCGATGCGACTCTGAAAAAAAACACTCTGATTGAGAGAGGGCTGGCGGCAGGGGGCGAAGCCCTTACGGATAATAGGAGGATTGGGCGGGCGATGAGGGGCCAAAAAGGAGGAGGAAGCACTGGGAAGAGAAAAAGCAGGAGGACAAGGCAGTGAGGCGTCCTATTCGGATCTTGTGTGGGTGATCGAACAGTCCTGGCGGAGCAGAGGGACCGAGGAGGAGGGACTGCCAGCACTGACCCGCCCCCGTGCACGTTCCCGATCCGTGCAAGGGACCTGGCCCCCACCAGGGGGGTGCGCGCCGGAACGGCGGAGTGTGCGCTCACTGACTGCACTCAGACGGCACGCTCGTGCCGAAAAAAAGGGCACTGAGCAGCTCACCGGAATGGTGTGAGATGGCTGGCCAGGTGCAGTGACTGTGTATACGTAAGGTCTGTGCGTCGCTGTCGGAGCGACCGAAAGTCCAAGCGAAACTCGACGAAATGTGACGCACGACGCGTGAGGATGCAGGGAGGAAGATGTGACGAGACCTTGGACTGGTAGAAGTGAGCGGGGGAAAGTGGTGGTGGCCGTGGGAGCTTCCGTCAGGTTGCCCCAGTCCTTGTCCTTGTCATTGCTGCCCTTGCTGCCCCTGATGCTGCACCAGGACTGCTGGTACTGCGTCCGGCCAAGGGTGCCCATGGGCGGGGGGATCCCGAGGCGCGCCTGAAGCTGGGCGGCGGTTCCAGCTCGCTGGCGTCCTTGAAGTGGTCGCTGGGGCGCTGGTGCTTGCGCGCGCCGACGTCCTGGCATCCAGGCCTGGCCCTTGGCCCCACGTGGAGGCCATAACGATGGAGTGCGGATCGGATCGGACACCGACCGCGCCCCCAGCGGCGAAAGTCTCGGCCAGGGGCACATCGTCCGAGAGCACACTGGCGTGTCTGATAATTACGTATTGTGCAATATTCGCCAATTCTTGCAAAAACTCGCAACCATGATAGATCATCACCGATGTCGCGGAGGGTGTCCTCGACGATCTTCTGGCGCCTGATGGGCGCGTGACCTTGCCTTTTGCGCCCCTTGGCTCGAGTGGCTTCTTCCGTAAGGAGTGCCAGGGAGGCCGTGGGGACAGTCGCCCAGAAGGTGGTTTTGCCCGTCCACTCGAAGAGTACCAGTTGGGGGTGTCGGTGAGGGAACTGCCTGCATCGCGGGTTGGGCTCGTGTATGTGATTCGCGTGGGCGCCAGGCTTGTGACTGGAACGGGTCAGCCGGACGTGAGGAGGTCGGTCGGCTCGGAAGCAGCACGTGAAATTGGGTCACGGCGCTCCCGCCAGAATCAGAAAACCAATCGTCCGTAATTAGTGTTGTGATCGTATAGGTGGTAGTCCCTCGGACATTCCTGTCTTGGTTCGTACTGCATCTGCTTTAATCGTTGGTGTTATGCTGCGACCCGCAAGCGGAGCAGCTGGGCTGTCCGTGGGCCTGGCCATCGAAGACTCAGACGGAGCAACAACAGCCGATCCTCCATCTCATCCGAAATCTTCACCCGTCTCACGTAGAGTGATTGCACCACTTCTGTGTTGACTCGCGTACCTTGCGTGCGTGCTGCTCGGATGATAAGTCCTATGTTTCGTGTGGCAAGGTCTCGGTGTTGATCAGGACTTGAGGTCAAGCTGGCGTTGTGCACGGTGCCAGGCGGGCACGTGCATTCCAAGCTGCTACCGCGTCGGGTTCTCGTCACGATATGGAACGCCGTCATGGGAGGCGATGGAGCATGTTGCTCTGGTGCGAATCCCAGTCGGCAGAGACGGATGGTGACCAATTTCATGCGCTGCTGGGGAACTTGACTGCTTCCATCGCAAGGGACAGTCTACCAGCGAGCTCAATAGCCGCCAACCGTGTACCATTGCGCACACGGGCAACCAGGAATAGCACGGATGAGATCGAGGGCGCGCGTGCACTTGCTGCCGGCATCAACATGCTGCAGCGGCATCATGATCCAAGCACGTCTGTGTTTGTGCCGAGCGACTTCACTGAGAGATGCTGAGAACTGGGCGGATATGAGTGGCAAGATAAATCGTACACCCTGCGAAATGCTTAAGAAATCATGGGTTAAGAAATTCAGAGTCTCAGAATTTGAATAAAAACCCAACATTTCTTTTCAAAGTTTAGGCTTTACATTCAAACCTTAAGAATCATCGAGACTCTGGCCGAAAACTTAAGTTTTCTTAAGCATCGCCTGAGGTGTACACGTAGTCCAGCCATGCTCCTCAAACGCTCGTGCCATGCCGAGCCCAACCTCAATCACGCAGGCAGGTCATATCTTGCACGAGGGGTTCAGGGCAAAGAGAGCTGGGGTGGCCCGCAAGGGGCCATCAGGAGGAGCTGCGAGAGAGGAGGATGGAAATAAAGGACGGGCGATGAGGAGACCTGCCCTCCGCGGTCCTTTTTGTCCACGGACCAGCCAGCCTGCCAGTTGGAATAGCCAGCCTCACAGTCAAAGGGCTCCGACTTGTCTGCGCAGCCCCTCTGCTTGTGCTCGCAGCACCACTCCTGCTCCGCACGCCCCAGGCAAAAACAAGGAAAGCGATGCGGTGGGAGGGTGTGGATGGGGCTTCTGGCGTCTGGGTGGGGTGTTGGGCAGAACCCTGCTCTCCCATGACACTATTTCAGTTGGGCAGAACCCTGCGTTCCGCACGCCCTAAGAGAAAACAAAGGGGGTGAGGCCTCTAAGCCCTGGGGCTCTCTGCCCTGGAAGCCTCCGAAAATCCCTTGAATCCCCGAGAGGCCCCCAGGTCGGAATGTTTCCGGAGGCCCCAGAAAGGGCAGAAGACGTCCACAAACCTGGACCCTCGATCATCGTCCAAAATTGGAGAAGGCTCCTGGTTCCTGCAGAAGGTTGATATCCAGCGGCTCGTTCCCATACTTTCATCGTGCTACCCGGAAGAACGCTGAATAAGGAACGAAGGGTATCATCTGGCCACGGCGGTCTCGGCCATCAATAAGATGCAAGATCTAGGCCGAAGGAATGGCCCGAAAACCAAGGCCTCGTGAGACCAAGCTGGCTCTTATTGCAGCGTCTTGATGTCGGGCCGAGCCGCTCACTGCACCGCGATCTGAGGCTTGTGACGCCTCAGGCGCCTGCAAAAGCGCCCCGCGACCGGAGCCCCGAGGAGACGCCACCGAACGTTGGACGCGACTGGGGGGTCTGAACTGTTTAGGACCCCAGACAATCGGTCAGGAAGGTGGGGAGGAGGCCAAGTTCTTTCAACATCCGTTCCCAGACCCAGGATCCATTGATTACGGTCACGGGGTCTGAACGAATACGGCCCCCGAAGACCGAAAACAACAACAACAGCAACAATAACCACCACCACCACCACTTGCAACTACAACAACAGCAACAACAGCAGTAGCAACAACAACAGCAGCAGCAACAGTAACAACAACAATCATGTTAAGACTGTTCGCTCATATCTGCAAACGTGCCAACCCATACGTACATCCCAAACCCTCGGTACCCGCCCTCGTCGTCGTCGATCGTACCCACTTGGGGGTATTTTTCCTTACCTGCCACGTGCACTCAGTGCAGCCCCTAAAACAATGGAAGAGAAGACGGGTGGACGGGGGAGGGAGAAGAATGGAGCACCAGAGAGATTAGCAGGAGGGGGGCAAGGAGCAGAAAACAAGTGGTAGAACCACACTGGCAGATCGGGTGGGTAGACCCCATAGCGGACAGGTCGGGAAGGCGGGCCCAGGCGACCAGGTCGAGCAGGCTGGTTGCTGAAGCGTGGGTCCTGCATGGATCGCGAGGAGGTCTCGAGCAATAGCGCGATTCCCCAATAAATCGTGGGAAAGGCCACAGAGAGAGCGTGACTCCTGAGCGCCAAGGGCGCATCGTCTGAATAAGCTGCGAGGAGGTCCCACGCGAGAGCGCAATTCGTATACAATGTGTGAGGAAGTCCCGCGCGAGAGCGCGATTTGGGAATCAATTGCGAGGAGGTGTCAGGCGGGAGCCGTTGTTGTTGTTGTTGTAAACTGAGAGCCAACAACACAGTTTGAGCCCCGTGACTCTCCCTGATAAAAAAAAGTGTGCGAGCCCCGGGGGAAGCACTTCAAATGAAAAATAAAATGGTCACTGGAGGGGGGGGGATCACCAATCATTTATATTCAGTGATGAGAGTTCAACCACGATCATGTTAATTCTGTTCGCACTTACCTGCTCGCGTGCCATTCAACCCGGATATCCAAAACCCTCGGTACCCGCCCGCGTCGTCTTCGATCGTCCCCCCTTCTGCGGGTATATCTTCCTTACCTGCCACGCGTAATCGGTGCAGCCACTGAAACAGGGGAAGAGAGGACGGATGGAAGTGTGAGGGAGGAGGGTGGAGCACGGGATTAGGAGGTGGGGGGCTAGGAGCAGGAATCACGTGGCAGAACCAGACGGGCCCATCGGATGGGTAGAGCCTAATTTACAAGCGGGTCGGGAAGGCGGGCCCAAGCGGCCAGTTCGAGCAGGCAAGTTGCGGAAGCGTGAACATTGCCTGAATTACAAGAAGAGCTCGAGCGACTGCGCGATTCCGAAATAAATCGTGAGAAAGGCCAGGGCGAGAGCGCGATTCAGGAGTGTCGAGGGCGCGGCGTCTGACATCTTTCGAGGAAATACCAGGCGAGAGCGCGACTCCAGCATGATTGGTGAGGAAGTCCTGCACGAGGCCGCAAGTTGGGAACAGTGTGCGAGGAGGTATCCGGCGGAAGCCACTGTTCTCGGCGGCCAGGGGCCCAGTTTGGTGACCCCTCGCAGGGTGCGAGCCCCGGGAGGAGCCCCTTTTATCCAACAACTTAGAGGAAAAAGAACTATGCACATGCACCGATTCTGGCCAGGCCGATCCTGAGCCCAAGATCGGTGCATACGCCCTCCTACCTTGGCCAGGAAAGCATATGCACCGATCCTGGGTCAAGGATGGGCCTTGCCAGGATCGGTGCATGTGCACAGTTCTCTTCGCCCGAACAAATACCAGATGCCCTGAGGGGGATTCAAACAACGTGTGTTTTAGAAATTGGAAATCAACAACCACAGCAACACCAGCAGCAGAAGCAGCAACAACAACAACGACACCAACGGTAATAATAATAACAACAACAACAACAACAACAACAACAACAGCAACAGCAACACCAGCCACAACAACAGCCACACCATCAACAGCAACAGCAACACCATCAATAATAACAACAACACCAACAACAGCAGCAACACTTACAACGACAACAACAACAGCAACAACAACAACATCACAAACAAGCAGCAACCCCACCATCATCACCAACAGCATCATTCACAACAGCAACAGCAACAACAGCGACACCATCAATCACAACAACACCAACAACAACGACAACCTCATCAACAACAACAGCAACAGCTACATCCGCAGCAACAACACCAACAACAACAGCAACAACAACAGCAACAACAACATCGACAACAACACCAACAACATCAACAACAGCAACAACACCAACAATATCAGCAACACCAACAACAACAACAACAATCAGTTTAAGACTGCTTTCGAGTAAGCCCCTCTATGCCCGGCTAAGCAAAATCCGGTGGGATGAGCCGGGTTTCTGCCAGACCAGGCTGGCTTCCGACCACGAATCTACCAGCGCCGATGCTGAATCTCACCTCCCAGGAGCTGCATCCTGAACGACGCGCACTTCCAGGGCGAAAGCACTTCAAGTTAATGTTGCGCCCATCGTACTTAAGGACCACATCCCAACGTACTCCAGGACCACATGGTTCTCGATGTTTTTCTGGTGATCAAGGCTACGGTCGGCTGGAGCATCAGAAACTTCAACCTTTGGGGCATGAGGGAGCGGGGAGGATGCAAGGATGCAAGGGTGCTCAACGACGCAAGCAAGGATGCGCAGCCAAAACACAGACAGTACGCATCCTCAGGGCTGCCCTTGGCAGGCCGTCAGCAGCTTGGATCCCCTGCGGGGGTGAGGGTCATCTACGCATGCTCCAGGAGAACTGTTCCCTCGGTCGAAGGCGAGCGCGGAACAACTCTCAGGTCATCCCTGCATCGGATCGGGATGCAATAGTGTCGCAACGCCCGGAACTCGATCGCTGCGAATCGCCAGCGGAACCGGAACGCGATCGGCCGCATCGAATCGTAAACCGGATCGCGATCAAGTCCAATCGGATCGCGGACCAGATCGCGCGAGCAGGCCGAAGCGAATCGAATCGCGAAACGGATGGCGCGAGCGGAACAATGGATGGCGGAGGGAAGGGGTCGGCCAATCTCCACCCTGGTGACCCCCGTGTCCCACCTTGCGCGGTGACCCACCCTCCCTCGTGACCTCCACTGCCCCCCGTGCAACCCACCCTCCCGAGTAACGTTGCACCAAAACCCCCCCAGCGACCCGCCCAACAGCGCACAACAACCACAACAACAGCAGCAGCAGCAACAACAACAACTGCAAGCCGCGGTCACCGAACAAACAGCAGTTACAAGTATACACGAGAGAGATAAATGAGCCGCACGCGCTGAAGGCGCCACAGCAACGAGGAAAGGGGCAAATATCGGGGACAAAGGATAGAGAAAGGCGTGCCCGACCCAACTCCTGCTCGCTCCACAATGGTGGCAATGACCCACCCCTCGGGTGACCCCCGCCCCCCCCCCCCAGTGACCCACCCCCGCCCTGGTGGCCCACCCCCTCCCCGATGACCCACTCGCCCCCAGTGAGCCCACCTCTCCTGGTGATCCGCCCTCAGGAGAAGAGGAATGAATTGAAAGAAAGCAGGGAAGGCATGCTGCACCGATGAGGAGGAGGGGAAGGACCGCAACCATTTTGGCTCGAGCCGCCACATACGGGGACCCCACCCCCCGCGCCCGGGGAGGGGGGCCAGCGGCGGCGACCCAGAGGGGTCGCCCGAAGGCGCCAAGTCCGTCGGCGTTGCCTGCCAGAGCCCCTGCGGCCGGCGACAGCGACAAGAGCCATGGACACGATGAGCTATGAGCTGACCCACCGCCGATTGACATCTACCTACGTGCGCCGCGAAACTGGTCGACATGGCCCAGGGCCAAGGCAGGCGGCACGCGGCCGCCGTGCACTTGCGGGCCGCAACAGCCTGCCAATCACACTTGAAGACCTCGCTGGGGACAGGCGGCAACCTGACTGGCAAACATGGCCACGACAGTTACCATCGAAAATGCGGGGGCGATTGAGGACGCCGGGGTACATGGGAAGACTGGCGCTGGCAGCTCGGCCACGAGCGCACCCGCAGCCAAAACACCGTCGACCAACTCGAGCGAAACAGCAGCCAATGTCGGGTTCCACCTGGCCGCGAAGGCGGAATAACACGTGCCCTCTGGCACGGCCGTGGCGACCAAGAGCGCGGCCCGAACGCCCCTCTGCACATGGGCTCAAGCATCATGGGGGATCCCGGGCGCAGTCGGGAGGCCACGACAGCGCGCTGAGGCCAGCCGCGGCACAAGAACTGCATGGAACACCAGACTGGATCGATGGTCTCGCCATCTGGGATA